AGATGGAGAGACAGGGGTACCTGCAGACTGCCCCGGGGACAGTACTCTGTGATGATGCAGATGTTAGGTGGGTCGATACAAGCTCCAATGAATCGGGTCATGTGTTCATTCTGAACGTCTCGCATCTGAACACAGTAAATCCAAAGCAGGTCCTATAAAGTTGTGGAACCAGAGGTCCAAGTTCTCCAGGACAGAACCAAAGGTTTACTCACGTGTTTGAGTTCAAACAGGACCTTCCTGTTCAGCTCGATGCGCTTCTTGTTCACATATTTGATGGCCACGATGTTCCCCTGAAACAAAACATCTCTGAAACTCTGCATGTAGCAGCTGGAGCCGTGAGTATGATGATGATGGCTGCATCAGGTCCCACTAATGAGTCCATAATTAGCTAATCAAGATTAATATTTAAATAAAAGAGGAAACATTTGAGGAAGCTGAGTGACTCATCCTCATCCTCCAGGTGAAGGTCTCACTCACCTTGTAGTATCCCGTCTTTGCAAAGATCTGCAGGTTTCCATCTCCAGTCAGCAGGGAGCCGTAATTCGAGCCTTTCTGAGAACCAACAGAAACTAAAACCTTCAGTTTGTTAAAGTCTTCAAGCTAAAAGAAAACTAGGAGCAGGACTAAGGTCTGAACCCTGGAAACGTATGGTTCCAGGTCTGCTTCTCCTCTAATGCTGCTTGGTTCTCTGATTGAACATCAGCCTTTATGTTGATGCCTGTTTGTTGTGATGTTTTCAGTAGTGTTGGTTTGTTTGTTTGTGCACAACATTACTCAGATTTATGAATAAATGTTTAGGAAATATTGAGGTTCTCACAAAGAACAGATGATTAGGTTTGGTGCTGGTCTGGATCACCTACGTTAGTGACCCTGTGGTAACGGTGGAGGTGTGCGTTTTGTTACTGGTGTGCTATTTTGTTTTCTAACAAGCAGGTGAACAAATGTGTGTGTGTTTGCAGATGCACATGCACACTCACTAGTGACAGAGTGATCTTGCTGCCGCTCCGCAGGACTTTGTCCAGGTTGCTCAAGTGGACTTCATCCCAGGAGATCCTCCAGAGCTGAGCCACCAGCTCCTTCTCTAGCTTCATCCTCCTGCAGCCCAAACAGATCTTAGATCTGACAGGATCCAGTCTCAATCCAAAACCTAACTACTGCCAGATCTGTACCCCCAAACCAGTCCAGGATGTAAGACCAACAATAAATCAAGTTTGGTTCAAGACTAGTAGTTTAATCTAGGGTGTCCTGATGTAAAACCAATCCAAAAAAGACAAACCTCAGTGACTCATTAGTCCCTTAATCAAGTCCAACACTAGCAGTAAATCAGTTAATAATTAAAACTATCCATTCATTATCTATACCCGCTTCTTTCTTTCAGGGTCTCTGGTGACCATATCCAGCAGTCACTGTATGAGGGGCGGGGTACACCCTGGACAGGTCTCCAGTCCATCACAGAGACACATAGAGACAAATGAGACAAACAACCATTCACTGTCTCACTCACACCTAGGGACAGTTTAGAGTTATCAGTTAACCTAACAGTCATGCTTTTGGTCTGTGGGAGGAAGCCGGAGTACCTGGAGGGAACCCACGCGCATGCATGGAGAGAACATGCAAACTCTACCCAGAAAGGTCCCCGGGCTGGGATTTCAACCGGCGACCTTCTTGCTGAGAGGCATCAGCTCTACCAACTCAGCCACTGACTCAAACTAACCAAGGTAATAACTAAATAATCACAAGCACAACCTGGTTAAAAACCAGAAATAAGTTTTTAATCAACACTGAGCCAGTTGTTAACCAACACTGAGCCAGTTGTTAACCAACATTAAACCAGTTGTTAACCAACATTAAACCAGTTGTTAACCAACATTAAACCAGTTGTTAACCAACACTGAAACAGTTGTTAACAACATTAAACCAGTTGTTAACCAACACTGAAACAGTTGTTAACCAACATTGAGCCAGTTGTTAATCAACACTGAGCCAGTTGTTAACCAACATTAAAACAGTTGTTAACCAACACTGAAACAGTTGTTAACAACATTAAACCAGTTGTTAACCAACACTGAAACAGTTGTTAACCAACATTGAGCCAGTTGTTAACCAACATTAAACCAGTTGTTAACCAACACTGAGCCAGCTGTTAACCAACACTGAACCAGTTGTTAACCAACACTGAACCAGTTGTTAACCAACACTGAGCCAGTTGTTAACCAACACTGAACCAGTTGTTAACCAACACTGAACCAGTTGTTAACCAACACTGAGCCAGTTGTTAACCAACACTGAAACAGTTGTTAACCAACATTAAACCAGTTGTTAACCAACACTGAACCAGTTGTTAACCAACATTGAACCAGTTGTTAACCAACACTGAGCCAGTTGTTAACCAACACTGAGCCAGTTGTTAACCAACACTGAACCAGTTGTTAACCAACACTGAACCAATTATTAACTGATTTAGTTCATTTCAGTTACCTCACCTGTATATGAAGACAGCAACAGTGAGGGTCATCGTGAGGATGAAGAAGACCACAAGGAAGACCATCTGGTCAATGGTGATGGTCTCTGAGAGAGACACAGAAACAGGTAAAGATTGGTTATTGATGAGGTCATGTTTTTTATCAGTTCATGAATAATTACTGATGTGGTCATGATCAATTATCATTGCGGCCATTAGTTATTGATGAGATCATGAGCAGTTACTGATGAGGTCATGAGCAGTTACTGATGAGATCATGAGCAGTTACTGATGAGTTCATGATTAGTCATTGATGAGGTCATGAGCAGTTATTGATTAGGTCATGATTTGTTGATGAGGTCATGAACAGTAATTGATTAGGTCATGATTTGTTGATGAGGTCATGAGCAATTATTGATGAGGTCATGATTAGTTATTGATGAGGTCATGAGCACTTATTGATGAGTTCTTGATTAGTTATTGATGAGGTCATGAGCAGTTCCTGATGAGGTCATGATTAGTCATTGATGAGGTCATGATTAGTCATTGATGAGGTCATGATTTGTTATTGATGAGGTCATGATTAGTCATTGACGAGGTCATGATTTGTTATTGATGAGGTCATGATTTGTTATTGATGAGGTCATGATTAGTCATTGATGAGGTCATGATTTGTAATTGATGAGATCATGATTTGTTATTGATGAGATCATGAGCAGTTATTGATGAGATCATGAGCAGTTATTGATGAGGTCATGATTAGTCATTGATGAGGTCATGATTTGTTCCTGATGAGGTCATGATTAGTCATTGATGAGGTCATGATTAGTCATTGATGAGGTCATGTGCAGTTTTTAATTAGGTACTGACTTTGGTGGCACTGGAGGTTGTCGTTCTTGAAGCCACAGATGGGAACATCTAGAGGAACGTTTCCTTGGAGCCAGTGCACAGTAGTTCCAAGAACAACCTTCAGGTGCTTCTCTAGGCTGTTGTAGACCAGAACAATCTGCAGGAGAACAAACATGTCTGAGGTTCAGAGCTCAGCTTCATGTGTTCCTGAGCTCAGGGCTTGGTACAGAACAAGTCAGTTCTTCAGAACTGGGTCAGTTTCAGTTTCTGGATGATTTTAGAACTTTCAGGATTTGTCTGGAATGTTCACCTGGAAGGTGCTGCTGTTGGTGTCCATCATGTCCCACAGTGCAAAGTCTGTCTCCCTGTCTCCACTCTCATCCAGGTGGACCAGCCCTGTCACACCTGAGGACGGACAAAGGGAGGAGTTCAGGTTCTGATTTACATCATCTGACTTGAGACCCAAACAGAACCAGTAAGCCCCGCCCCCATCCTCACAAACAGCGTGTCAGTTCTCAGGTGTCGCTAAAAATCCTTTGAGTTTAATTGGACCTGCAGGGGGAGGTTCCCTCACTGAGTAACCAGATTTATGAGAAGGTCCAAACAGTGACATGACTCTGATAAGACTCACCTGTCAGGTGTGTGTGAAGTACGGGAGTTCCTGGTAAGTCATGCATTGTTTTCCAGGAACAAGATGAAATAAAGACAGGTGAAGGTCAGCAGCTTTATGACACATTCAGACACGAATCATTGATCTGAAGCACCTGAAGTTCTGCTCCCCTGCAGCTGCCATCACCTGTTACTGTTAGCAGCTGATTCTGTGTGTGTGTGTGTAACTGTTTCTGCTACAGAGTGAGGACCGTCATGTTTTTAACATGCAAAATGAGGACATTTTCCTTTCTACTGCACTTTACTAGTTAGGTTTAGAGGGTATGGTGTGAGTTACGTTTAGGTTCAGGTTAGGATTAGACTACTAATGGTTAGGCTTAACCTAACCTGACTGATTCAGGTCTGTGAGACTTTAAGGAGCTCCTGTTTCCTGAGAACAAACTAAAACCTACATCTTCATCCTGCTGAAGCCTTGATGAAGATGATGAAGAGCATGTCTCCACCTCCCATCAACCAAAGTTTCTTCACTGACCGTGAAACGTTCGATTCCACATCCTCTTGGTCACAACTTTCCCTGGTGGCCGACAGCCGGACGCAGACATGGTCTCATTCAGAGCGTGGACATAAAGCATCAGACCGTCATAAAATCCTCCAGCTATGATGTTCATCTGAAACAGAGAAGCTGCTGTTCATCCCTGAAGAGGAGGAGTCTTCATCACTTTCTGTCTCCTTTAGAGTTGTCCAAAACTGAGACCACCAAGACAGGCCAAAGATTCAGAGCCGCCTCAGAAACATCTAATCAAACAGCTTTATTCAAGTTCAGGTACTTCATTGTTACAAACAGAAGGTTTGGATAAGATGAAAGAATCAGCCAATCAGCAGCCTCGTTTCAGTGACGAGCAGAATTGATCCCAGTTTGGTTCCTCAAGCTTTGATTTCTGTTTATGCAGGTAAAAATGTATTTAAAACATGTGCAAACATCTGCTGACTCATCAGAAGAAAGTAAAAACTAAAGAGAACTCCTAAACTCAAACTGAACTCTACTTCAAACAAAAAAACAACCTCAATAAACCCCTTAAAGTCAAATGTGTTCTCCATTTCATTGTATTTTTAAAGAAATGTTTCTGTGACACAAAGAGACCAAAGACCTGGTTTCAGACTGGTTCTGTGTTGATTCTGGTCTGGGTCAGCCTGAAGTCAAAGAACTGCTGGTTCCCTGCAGGGTCCTGGCCCGTCATGCTAATGATGCTAACATGGTTAGCTTTCTGCAGCTGGTTAATGGCTTTCAGAGCCACCAGGCAGCAGGTCTCTGATGGTTTATTGTCTCTAACAGGATTAAACAGAGCCGGCAACTCTCAGGTTCCTCTGTGTGCACGTGAGGATGTGCACGTACAAATCCAATCAACCTCCATTCAGTTCATTTATACAACAATTCACAACACAAGTTATCTCAGGACACTGGAGACATAAACCCAGTCCATTCAGACCCTCCAGAAACAACAACAGCTCTCTGAGAAACCAAACACAATCTGTACACCTGTCCTGTCACACAGTGGACTTGTGTCCATTCTTGTCCTGTCAGACAGTGGACTTGTGTCCATTCTTGTCCTGTCACACAGTGGACTTGTGTCCATTCTTGTCCTGTCACACAGTGGACTTGTGTCCATTCTTGTTTTATTAGACAGTGGACTTGTGTCCATTCTTGTTTTATTAGACAGTGGACTTGTGTCCATTCTTGTCCTGTCAGACAGTGGACTTGTGTCCATTCTTGTCCTGTCAGACAGTGGACTTGTGTCCATTCTTGTCC